GCCCAACCGGTCTACATGTGCTTTGTGGATTTGGAGAAGGCGTTCGACCGCATCTCTCGGGGAACCCTGTGGGGGATACTCTGGGAGTATGGGGTACCGGGCCCTTTGATACGGGCTGTTAGGTCCCTGTATGACCGGTGTCAGAGCCTGGTCCGCATTACCGGCAGTAAGTCGGGCTTGTTCCCGGTGAGAGTTGGACTCTGCCAAGGTTGCCCTTTGTCACCGATTCTGTTCATAACTTTTACGGACAGAATTTCTAGGCGCAGCCAAGGTGTTGAGGGGATCCGTTTTGGTGGCCTTAGGTTTGTGCTCTGCTTTTTGCAGATGATGTGGTCTTATTGGCTTCATCAGATCGTGATCTACAGCTTTCGCTGGAGCGGTTCGCAGCCGAATGCGACGCGGCCGGGATGAAGATCAGTTCCTCCAAATCCGAGGCCATGGTCTTGAGCCGGAAAAGGGTAGAGTGCCCTCTCTGGGTCAGGAAGGAGGTCCTACCCTCATCTATGGTCACAAGCTTTGGGTTGTGACCGAAAGAATGAGAACTCGGATACAAGCGGCCGAAATGAGTTTTCTCCGCAGGGTGTCTGGGCTCTCCCTTAGAGATAGAGTGAGAAGCTCGATCATCCGGGAGGGACTCAGAGTAGAGCCGCTGCTTCTCCACGTCGAGAGGAGCCAGTTGAGGTGGCTTGGGCATCTGTTTAGGATGCCTCCTGGACGCCTCCCTTGTGAGGTGTTCCGGACACGTCCCACCGGAAGGAGGCCCAGAGGAAGACCCAGGACACGCTGGAGGGACTATATTTCTTGGCTGGCCTGGGAACGCCTAGGGATTCCCCCGGAAGAGCTGGCCCAAGTGGCTGGGGAGAGGGAAGTCTGGGCCTCCTTACTTAGGCTGCTACCCCCGCGACCCGACCCCGGATAAGCGGAAGAAAATGGATGGATGGATGGATAAAGCTTTCAAATTATTAAAAAGAAATCATAACTTTCAGAATCTGAATGAGTACAAGAAACTGCAGCAAATGTAAGAAGAACTATTAAAACTGCAAAGAGAGATTATTGGAGAAGTTTTTGTAATTCAGTAGGGAGGGAGACAGACATTTCTAAGGTATGGACAATGATTAAAAGAATGAATGGGATTAAAAGAGTGAATGGATATCCCAATACTAAATGATGGAGAGTTAACAGCAGTGAAAGACAGAGAAAAGGCAGAAATGTTGGTAAATACTTTTGTTAAAATTCATAGATCTGAAAATATTAATGAAGAAGGGAAAAAGGAAGAGAAAAGACAATTTTAGAAAACAAAGAATTATTGGAACAAATAGAAAACACAAATGATTCACTGAACATGCTGTTTACAATAACAGAGCTGAATAAGGCACTTAAAAATATAAATTGTCAGCTCCAGGAAAGGATCAGGTTTGTTACACAATGGTAAGTAATTTAAGTAGATCATCTAAAAATATTCTATTAGAATTATATAACAGAGTATGGGAGGATGGGAAATTCCAAAAAGTTGGAAGGAAGCAGTGATTGTACCATTTAGAAAACCAGGGAAAGATGAGTCAAAACCAGAAAATTATAGACCTATAGCATTAACATCCAATATATGTAAAATAATGGAGAAAATGATAAAATGAAAGATTAATATATTATATGGAAAATAAAGGACTTATGTCAAAGTATCAGAGTGGTTTCAGGAGAGGGAGAAGTACGATGGACCCAGTTTTATGTTTAGAGCATGAAATTAGAAAGGCTCAAGTGAATAAAGAGTGTTGTGGCAGTATTTTTTGATATAGAGCGAGCGTATGATATGATGTAGAGGGAAGGATTATTAATCAAAATTAGAATAATGGGTATAAATGTTCATATGTTTAGATGGATTAAGTTTTTTTTTAGAAGGAAGACAAATACAAGTGAGAATAGGGAAGGATTATTCTGAGAGTTGTAATATAGAAAATGGGACACCACAGGGTAGTATAGTCAGTCCATTATTATTTTCAGTGATAGTTAATTATATGTTTAAGGAAGTAGAGGGTGGAATGGGTTTTCACTTTTTGCTGATGATGGGGCAATGTGGAGAAGAGGAAGAAATCTAGAATTTATTATAAAGAAGCGTCAGGGAGCAATTTCAGTAGTAGAAAAATGGTCGTATAAACAGGGAGTTAAATTTTCTGTAGATAAAACTATAATAATGATCTTTACAAGGAAAAGAGTTGATGAGAAAATCAAGCTAAAATTATACGGTCAGGAGTTGGAAAGAGTTAAAGAATTTAAATTTCTCGGGTTGTGGTTTGATGAAAGAATGACATGGGGTGTACACATTAAGAAAATAATAGATAAATGTAGGGAAGTGTTAAATATAATGAGGTGTTTAGCTGGAACTGAGTGGGGAGCTGATAGAAATTCATTGACAGCCATTTATACTGGATTAATTATGGTCTGGACAAGGCACGGCCTTGTTTGATCTTTGACCTTGATTTGTGACCTTGATCACCTTGGTGATGAAACGAGTACTCACACACAGTGATGATGCACAGGTGTTTGAAACTTTGTTAACTTGAGTGGATCAAAAGTTAAGAGCGGGACAAGAGAAAGTTTACTGATGGACAGACCATGTCTGCCTTGACGGGGGTAGAAAAACAACCAACAGGATGCAGTAGGCAGCACGGTGGCGCAGTTAGTGGAGCTGCTGCCTCTCAGCGAACAAGTCGCCTCGGTTCAAATCCTGGCCGGGGGCCTTTCTGGGTGGAGTTTGCATGTTCTCTCCGTGCATGTGTGGCTTTCCTCCCACAGACCAAAAACATGCATGTTAGCTGATTGGTGACTCTAAAATGTCCCTAGGAGAGAGAGAGAGTGAATGGTTGTTTGTCTCAATGCTGCCCATCCTCTGCACGGTGCCATCATGGAGCAAAGGAGCTCCTTCAGTGGTCCACTGCTGCCCCAGCCCCGTGTCACGGACAGATCCAGGAAGTCCTTTGTCCCTCAAGCCTTCACTGTTCAACTCCTCCTACAGTCAAAATAAAGCCTCATAAATCTGCGGTACCCTGGACACTTCTGTATGTTTACATGTAGTTGAAACCAGAAGTTTACATACACGATTTAAAGACACGCATGCATTTTTTCCACATGGTCTGACATGAAATCAGAATAAACTTTTCCCGTTGTAGGTCAAGTAGGATGACCAACATTTTTTCTATTTGCAAAATGCCAGCATAATGAGAGTGAGAATTTTTATTGCAATTTTTATTACTTTCTTCAAAGTCAAAAGTTTAATTATACTTCATTAGTATTTGGTACCATTGTCCTTAAACTGTGACTTGAGTCAGATGTTTTGGATCTCCTTCCACAAGCTTCTCACAATAGTTGGCAGAAACTTTGGCCCATTCCTCCTGACAGAACTGGTGGAACTGAACCGTAGGCTGCCTTGCTCGCACGAGCCTCTTCAGCTTTGTCCATGAATTTTCAATAGGCGTGAGATGAGGGCTTTGTGATGCCACTCCAAAACAATGACTTAGTTCTCCTGGAGTCACTTTGTAACCAGCTTGGCAGGACGCTTCGGGTCATTGTTCAGTTGGAAGAACCGTTTGCGCCCAAGCTTTAACTTCCTGGCTGATGTCTTGAGATGTTGCTTCAGTATTTACACATAATGTTCTTTCCTCATGATGCCATTTATTTTGTGAAGTGCACCAGTCCCTCCTGCAGTAAAACAACCCCACACCATAATGCTGCCACCCCCGTGTCACAGTCAAGATGGTGTTCTCAGGCTTTTTGCTCCAAACGTAGCAATGGTCATTTTGGCCAAAACAGTTCAATTTAATTTCAGCAGACCACAGGACGTGTCTCCACAGACTGAGGTCTTTGTCCCTGTGTGCTTTTGTAAACATTAATCTCTTTTTTGTTTCTTTTGAAGTAATGGCTTCTTCCTGGCAGAGTGGCCTTTCAGCCCATGTCGATAGTTCACTGTGGATAATGACCCTGACCAGCCTCAGCCAGCATCTTCACCAGGTCTTTTGCATTTGTTCTTGGGTTGATCTGCACATTTCGGACCAAAGCACGTTCATCTCTGGGACACAGAACCCATCTCCTTCCTGAGCGGTATGATGGCTGGACATTCACATCGTTTGTACTTGCATAATTGTTTGTACAGATGAATGAGGCACCTTCAGGCATCTGGGAATTATACCCAAGGATGAACCACCTGTGCAAGTCCACAATTCTCTTCCTGATATGTTCATGGACTTCTTTCAACTTTCCCATGAAGTTGCACAAGGAAGCAGTGTTTCGGGTGTTCCTTAAATTACATCCACAGGTGCGTCTCTAAGATGCATCAATAAACCTATCAGACACTTCCAAAGTCATGACATGAAATGTCCTAAATCGTTTAAAGGCATAGTAATCTTAGTGTACAGGTCCTTCTAAAAAAATTAGCATATTGTGATAAAGGTCATTATTTTCCATGATGTAAT